GCTTTATCTATCACAATTACAACTTTGGTATAAGATTGGTATTGCAGTATACTGGTGAAGTAGGCAAATCTAAAATAGTATGGAATACCATTTATTTCATTTAAAATCAAGGACAATCTGATAATACTTGTGTTATAATAAATATATATGGTTTTTGTCCCCAGTTTATGGCACAGAGCTCCTAAAAATCCTGGGAATTTCCTGAGCAATAGGAGTTATCTTCTGTCATTCATAAGGAGCCCCTTTCAAGTATTCCTGAGTTTGTGCTAAGGTAACTTAGGCTAGGGCCACTACCTAGCCTCGGGATGGTGCTGGTCACCAGAACACCCAGTGATTAAAGAGTAGGAATTTTAGGCCTCACTCTAGGACCTCTGGGAAGGGGTGCAGACAGGGAGACAGCAGGCTGGAGATCAAGGTCTGTAAAAACTCTTGAACAAAGAGATCTGATGAGCTTTCAGGTTGTTGAACACATCTAGGTGCTGAGGGGTAGCAAGCTCTGAGATGGCAAGGAAGCTCCATGCCCTCCTCCAACCCATACCTAGTTAGGTGCATTTCTCCATTTCTTCCACCGTCTGTTCCTGAATTGCATCCTTTTATAGTGAATGAGCAACCCATGCAAGTGTTTACCAGAGTTCTTTGAGCCATTATAGTGAATTACTGAACCTGAGAAAGTGGGTATGGGAAGCCCAAACTTACAGTGTTGGTCAGAAGTACAGGTGACCACCTGGGACTTGTGATTGGCATCTGATATGGGGGCAGTCTTTTGAGATGGAGCCCTTAACCTGTGGGATCTTAAACTATCTCCACATAGATTGTCAGAATCAATTTAATTGTAGCACATCCAGTTAGTGTCTTCTGAGAATTGGAGAATTGCCGGGTGTTGGGGAAAAATACCCTACATGTGGTGTCCATGAGAATCGAGTCTGTAAGTAGGAAGAAAGAGTTTTTCCTTTCAGTAGTTAACTTACTAAGATAACCATTCAAATATGTGAAATCCTCTATTTCAGCTCCTGGTTAAAATTCTGCTTCTATCAAATACCGAATTTAGTCTGTATAATATGGATAACACTACCTGTCCAATCTTCCTTACAGATAATTGTGATGATCAAATGAGAATAGGTGCAAAAAAGCATTATAATTAAACTTAGAGAGTAAATGTTACATCAAATTATTATTCTACTATGTGATAAAGAATAAAATAAAATGTAAGGGTAATTTTTAGTGTCTTTAAAACATAGGTATATCAAATTATTAGTCTATTAAGTGATAAGGAATAAAATAAAATGTAAGAATAATTTTTATAGCATCTTTAAAACAAATAGGTATAAGTAACAAAAATAACTCAAGGGAAAAAAACAATGTCTGTCAAAATGAGAACCAAGGACCAAGAGACAGACAAACTGACAGGTAAGTTTCATGCAGGCAAGAGGCAACAAAGTAAAATGGTAAAAACTCACACCTAACTCTTTATATTATAAGATATTATAGAAAGAGAACTATAAAAGTAAGTGAAAAACAGGAAATAAAAAGTGGGGCTTCTAATTTTTAATAAATCTGTAAAATCAAGCTGCTTACTTGAGGGTTTCTTAGATATTGAGATGTGATGGTTTCTTGCCTGGTGCGTCATTCATATGCCTTGCCCTGGGAGGCAGTGGAACTTACTCTCTGGACTGGGACTGAAACTGCTAGGCCACTGGCTGCTAGAGACTACTTTCCCTGGCCCCCTTCTTGGGCGCAGAAAGGAGGTCAATGCACTGGAGACTGAGTTAGAGAGAGGACATGACTTGGTGGCAATGAGCACAAGCCCTGCGGTCAGATGGACTTGAGTTTGAATCTGGGCCCAGCTAATTACCTGTTTGGAATCAGTTGTGTCACCCAGGCATTCCCAAATGGTCTCTGAATTGGTGTTAGTCTGCGGCACATTTTACACTGATCTGTGACCAAATGAGAAAAACTAGGACAATGTAATATAGTTTTTCATAATACTAAATTTATTGTCTTTGTTTTCATGTTGTCATTATGATCTTCCTAACTTTTTGGTGGCAAAATGTCCTTTCTTTTATGAAAGGATAGGGATGGGAGATTGCTGTAGTTTTTAAAGAGGTCCTTAAACTTGAGAGATTGTGGTCTTTTGTCTGATCCCAACTACCCTCCAACCCACACACTTTTTTTACACTTGCTCATCAAGTTCAAAAGTCTGGGAACAACTGACTTAGAAGTGTCACTTCTCCTTTCAATATGGAGCAGAAACTTTATTTTGCAGTTGTGTGTGGTAAAAGTGACACATATATAAAGTATCAACTCCTTTCATCATAGTAGAGAACTTGACTACTTGACCTGAAGGTTCATTCAATAAAATCCATAACCAAGCAGTCTAGCAGAATGGTCAAAGGCAAGCTCTGAAATCACCCACTGGATTTAAACCCTGGGTTTGCCATTACTAGGGCTGTGATCTTGAATAAGTCAGAGTAAGTGACAATATCCTGAGTGAGAGCTGCAGTCTTCTCTCATCACTCAAATGGAGATGATAAACAGGACTATTTATTATGAGGATAATCATGGCAGCACTTCTTTAAACTATTGCAAATTAAACGTCTAGGACAAGAATGAGAATTTGGGTGCATACAGATCCAAGCAACATCAAATGCCATCCTAAACAATATCTAAAGAATCAATGTGTTTTTCATTACTTTTGAAAGTTGTATATATTGATCAGAGGTATAATATTCAGCCATATAATCAAAATGACTTTCAAATAAAATAGTTAACTTTTAATAAAAGTTACCTTCCTATAAAATCAAATATAGAGTAGTTTTTATATTTAATATGAATTTTGTCCTCTAACATTGATCCTTAGTAAACAACTATAGGTTTTAGTGTTATTTCTGTTTTGAAATGTGGCTGTTAAAGTTGTCTGAAATTCACCAACAAAAATTAGAATTTATTTGAGTTTAACTTAATATAAAATGTAGTTCAGAATAGTTTTCTTTTATATGAAATCAAATACAAGTTATGCATGAACAGCATTATAGGAGTTAATATGCCAAAGAAATTCTCAAATGATAAATGAGTTTTTCCTTTATGAATTTTTAAATGTGATTTTGTAACAAATACATTAAAAGACAAAAACATTATATATAAATACATTCTAAGGGTGAAGCCTGTAAGCAGTTCTTTACCAGGAATAACTACTGAGAAAGAGTAGGTTTTAGTTTTCAAGAAAATGAAGAAATTCTACAAAAGCATAGCCCAACATTTCCTATTAGTGTATGATAAAAGATTTTACCAGCATTTCTGGCCTCTATGCATAACCTGTAATTAAATTTTTATAAATGCCAAAAGAGAGTCAAAAAGAGATTACCAATCAGTGCTCAAAGTTGATTATTTAAAGGACCAAAACTAGAAGAATTAAACTGTTTCTTCTGTACTTTTGCAAACCATGTAACACAGCAACATGTAACAACTATAGTATTTACACAATAGATTATTCACATTTAGATTATATAGAGAATAGTATACCCTTCGTATAATTACTATAACTAGTGTGTGTGTGCTCATATGTGTGTGTATATATATACACAAACACATATGAATATATATATGGGCGTGGTGTGTGTGAATGTTTCTTCTCTTCCAGAATTCTTGGTAACTAAACATCAAAACTTACGAGTGCAACACTGCCATCAGCCTAACAGCATGAGCAATGCTGAAGGAGCATACACGGTTAAGAGGGGACTGGAAGTTATGAATTAAATTGCCTGAATTTGAATCTGGGCTTTGCTGCTTAAAACCTATGATCTTGGGCAAGTTACTTAATCTTTCTAAACCTTGGTTCATTTTGTAAACTGGATTTAATAACACTACCAACCTCAAAGCATTATTTTGATAATTCATGTAAAGAACAGTGCTCAACCCACAATTAACAATTAATAGATGCTTCTACTGTTTTAATCAATTGCAACACTAAAATAATGCTATTAATTGCTTTGCTTATAAGTAACTGTCACAAGCATTAGGAAGGTAAAGGAAACAGATATAACACGGTTTGTGAGGAAGCGCTTATGTTGAGATTTTTTGTTTTTACTTGGCTTCTCAAAAAGGCGACCTAAGTTTTTTAGGAGTATCTCTGGAACCAAGGAAGTCAAATGCAGAGATGGTTATCATCAGCGTCGAAGAAACACCTGCCAATCACTTTCCAAAGATGCCATTTCACTAAAGGACAGAACCGTTCCAATCTTACAACACACACACACACACACACACACGTTCATCCTGCCGAAGGAGATCACTCTCACACACACACACACACGTTCATCCTGCCGAAGATCACTCACACACACACACACACACGTTCATCCTGCCGAAGATCACTCTCACACACACACACACGTTCATCCTGCCGAAGATCACTCACACACACACACACGTTCATCCTGCCGAAGGAGATCACTCACACACACACACACGTTCATCCTGCCGAAGGAGATCACTCTCACACACACACACACGTTCATCCTGCCAAAGATCTCATACACACACACGTTCATCCTGCCGAAGATCACTCACACACACACACACACACACACACACACACACACACACACACAAGTTCATCCCTGCCGAAGGATGATGAAGGGATTTCGAGCCACAAAATCGATCTCGGAAGAGAGAGGAGAGATGCTGGTCTTCTAGAGGCCACAAGACCCCACTCTGGGGCGGAAGTAGGGAGCTCTGGAAGCAGCTAGTCGAGAAACCGGAAAGTCGCGCCCCTAAACCTTCGGCGCGGGAAGAACCGCGGGCAGTCAGGATGGGGTCGCCGTGACCTGACCGCTGGCCCCGCTAACCCGCGAGCCGCTTCCCTTCACCCCGCCTCCCCGCCATCCGTCAGAAGGGGACGCGGCGGGTCCGCGCCCGGCTCCCCAGGCGCACGGGAGGAGGCTGGAGCCCGCTCCCCCGCGGGAGCACTCCCTCCAGGCCGCCGCAGCCGCGCGGAAGCTTGCCTTAACCGACGTCGCACCCGCGACAGGTGGTGCTGCTGGCGGAGAGGCTGCGGCCCTGTCGCCCACCGGAGCGATGCTCGGCTCGGGACCGTCCAGTCCTCCCCTTCCGCGAGCTCCCCGGGGCCGGCGCCAGCTGAGGCTCGGACAGGCGAGGGGGGGCGAACCCCGGGGGAGGCCGCCAGTAAAGCTGCAGGGAGGGGAGAGGAGGGGAGAGGAAGCCGGAGGGGCGCGGGCGCGGCTGGGAGGAGACTGACGGGCGCATCGGCCAATGCGCAGGCACTAAGTCAGCTGGGGGGCGGGGCCCACCTCGAGGCATTGCCGCCCGTTTTCCCGTTCCTAACCAGTAGAGCCCGCCACTCTCCAGTTCCTGGAGGTTGTGATTTTTGAGGCCGAGGGATGTGAGAGGGCCTGTAGCAGGAGTCCGCGGACACGGGAGATGCCCGTTGTCCCACGAAGGAGCCTGGGTGGCTTATCACCGACCTCGCATCCCGTGTGCTGGCGTGGTGGTAGCCCGTGGTGGTAGACCGTGACGGTAGCGCGTTCGCGCGAGAAGCGCCTCTGCGCAGGCGCGGGAGGCTCCAGGGAAGGTCGGCGGGTACCAGCTACTGAGCCGGAGGAGGCGAGAGGAAGGGTGGGAGTTTGGGTGCATCCAGTGTGGCTGGGAGAGGATGGAGGAGAAATTTAGAGCTGGATTAGGAGAATGGAGAAGCAGAAGAAGGAGGACCCAGGAAAGGCTAGGAACTTGAGGAACGCTTTGTGTTTCTGAGCTATTTTTGGATCTCAAGGACTCGCCCTTCTGAATCTCTGCCACTCTCCATGGCTGTTGGCACAGTTAATGGCCCGCAGGAAATTTACTAATGATCCCTACGGTCACAGTCACCATAAATAGATCTTAAGTGTTCTCTCTCAGAAAGGCAGTGGAATGTTAAATTGTTATCTTGGAAGCATCAGGGACCGTAATTTAAAACATCTAAACCCACCACAGTTATGATATTGGGGCATATGTCTTAACCCTTTTGTCAGAAAATGTTATTACCAAAATTGTTTACTGTAATCGAGTTTGTGTAAAGTATGGTAATGAGTATTTTTAAATAAAGATGTAAAGGATAAAGAAGCAAGGCTGAAGGAATACGAAAATTGATAGTGATGGAAATGTAAGAGAGAAAATTGAGGGGAAGTAGAGTAAAGTGAATTATCCCCTTCTAAACTCTTGGACAATCATGTGAAATCTGGACTTACCATGCCACTCTGAGCATGAAAGTGTGGGGCATGTTTGGAAACACTTTAGTTTGATGAAAAATGATAGGGTATGGCTGCAACAGTAAGCACCACAGTAAAAGAGGGCCTATAAATACGCATAACCTAAAATGACCCTGCTTGCCAGAAATTGTCCAAATGCAGCAAGTCGAATGAGGGAAACTTCAAAAACCAACAAATGTCATTATAAGTGCTTTATTAATAGAGGTAAAATTACCTCAATTTGTCTTACATTAGAGTAATCCGAGGTTGAATGGTTGTAGAGAGCTATCAAGGATGGGACTATTTTGGTTAATGGAAAGTGGATTGCATAAAAAGAATGTAAAGTATATTCACTTTAAAAATAGTGATCACGTGGAAAAAATGTTTTGGATATTTTTTGGTTAATCGTTTAATTATTTACATTAATTTTTAATTATATATTAGGTTAAATATTTAATATATTCTTAGAATTAATTTCCTCTCTTTTTACTTTTTTAAAGTTGCTGCTAGGAAATTTTAAGCGATAATATATAGCTCCCATTTGTGGCTTGCTTTATAAATCACTTGGACAGTGCTGGTCTAGGAGGACTTTGTTAGAGTCATGTATGTGAAAACTGCTGGGTAGAGCTTCTGGAAGGACTTTTTAAAACAGTATACTCAGTTGGCATGTGCCTTTGGTTATTTTGCTGCTTCACACTTTTTGCCAGTAATGTTTGGAGGCATGGCACCCATCATTGGACTATAAGATTATAAGCAAGAGGATAAAATCCTACATTTAAGGGTACTGGCAAGATAGAAGAAACTGGGTCCCTCATAGTATTATTGAGCCATGTTCAGCCTTGGTCCCTACCCCCATATTTCTTGTTTTGTGAAGTAAGCCTCTGTTGGTATAAATCAATTCAAATAGAGTTTTCTGTTGTTGGGGCTAAAAAGAATTTCTAACAGTTACTATTAAATGCACATAAATCTTGTTGCCTGTCATAGTATCTTAATATCTACTTCTTCCTGTGGAATAGCTCATAACTCCTATTAGGTCAAATTGAGGCTTAGTAATCTGTGTTTTGACAAACCCTCTAGGTGATTTGGATACACACTCAAGTTTAAGAACCACTGTCTGATGCCACACATTGATCAAGCAATCTTCAGAATGTAATTTATTTTTGTGTGTAAAATTTCCTACTGAGAAAAGCTAATTGGGGAACAAGAATGAAAAAGACATAATAGTTGCCTTCAAGGAGTCTACATTATAATACAGAGACTAAGCATTTAATCATATCATTTAAAAACTGTGTTTTACTCAGTTTATTTCAGGTGAAGTGACATGATCATGATATTTTGGGTTTGCTTTAAATTACTCTAGAAAAAACAGATAGCCAAAATAAGACTGGCAAAACGTTACTATTTGTTAAAGCTGGGTGATGTCTTCAAGGGAGTTTACTGTACTATATTCTCTACTTCTGGGTATAATTGAACATCTCATTATAAACAGTTTTTAACGGCAATGTATGAAGAATAAGCTCAAAGCATTGTAGTAGTTCAAAAAAAGCAAACACTCCCTAAACTCACATTATTTAGAAAGCTTTGTGGAGGGTATGACCTGACAGCAAGCTTTAACCTAAGAAGAAAAGTTCCTTAAGTAATGTATTATCTACAAGTCCACAAACTCTTATCTGTAATTCCAAATCCAAAAGCTTTTTTGTTTATTTGTTTGTTTGTAATCTGGTGGTACCAGAATTTAATTGGTGACAAATAAGAATTTGTCACAGTTACCTGTAGCCTTTATTTCTCCAGCACAATGTAAATATTTGTATTTACTTTGCATACTATTATATTACATGTTCTTCAGTAATTGTGAATGTTCTTTTGAGGCACTGCCCCAGATTCCTCTGATGGTAGTGTATAGCATACATGATATACTTCTTGGACTGTTTTCCCAAATCCAGAAGTTTCTAAGTTCTGAAGTCCAATTGGCTCCAAGAGCTTCATCCATTTGTATGATCCAAAAGTACAATCTTTATGATACAAGAACTTAGGGAAAGACTATGTATAGTTCTTAATTTCAATTATGCTGAGAATAAGCAGATGATTAAATACTGCTTAATATAATGTTAGCCAATTTTATTGTAAATGAAAAAGAAATGTTATGACATTTTATTTGGTGCATGGAAATGACTGGATGAGTTATAAGAACTTAAGTTTTAAGGAGAAATATTTGCTGGCAGAAGTCAGTAAAGTGGTTAGCTTTGGTGAGGGGTTGGCTGAAAAGACACAAGAGAACATTCTATAACTCAGTCTGGATGATGCCTATACAGGTATGAACATATATAAAACCAGCAAGCTTGAGTGAGGTAATTTACACACCTCCAGCATGAATTTTATATCCACCCCAATCAGTATATAAAATAAACCATTTGTATTGTGCACTGCTGTTTCTTTTGGGATAAATGCCCCATGAACTCTTGTGGATCCAGAGCCTTTCTTACAGGCTTCTTCCCCAGCGTCCTCCACTGGACTCTCTCAGGAAAAGAAGTGACCATTCTTGGCTGCCCAGAATGTAGCTTACCAGGCCTTGTAGATCTGAAAATGGCCATATGCACAGTGTTTGCATACAAACAGTGCCAAGCCTGGAAGGAAGACACAAGTCCTTCCTGGAAGGGTGGATTACAATGCAGGGGATCAAGTAAAACAAGGGACTAAGGCCCAGATCAACAAAACTGAGAGGAATAGGTATCAGGCTTGGTCACTGAATAAATAGAGGAAGATGTGGGTGAGGCTTTGAGTCCTGCACTCTTGGAATTTGAGGTGCTATCTCTGACTCTACTGGCTAATTCACTTGTGAAATGGGAGGGGCCTCAGGGGGCAGGCTGCCAGGCATGCCAGGCATTGCTGGCCATGTGACTTCCCTGTAAAACTTTTCAATAGGCGGAGTTAAAGTGGTATGTATGCCAATTATCTTAAGATGGGCACACATTCACCAACCTTTCTCAAAAACCAAGGAAGATTCCTGGAAAAACTTTCATATCAATTACCATGAAAATAGAGCAGCTTTATTTCATCTAAACACCTCAGTGTGTTTCCTTAAGGAAAATCCATATTATTGAGGTTTCATAGAGTTATGGATGGTCATTCTCTGTGTAATGAGGTTATATGTGAGTAGGGTTGTTGATTTTAGGTTGACACATTATCTATAGCAAAAGCAGATAGATTGTACTAATCACATGTTTAGATTTACACAACTCCACCTGCCTTAGAATAGAAAACATTAATAATGAATGCTGACTGTGCCACAGGGAATTATCCTCCAATAAGTTAGGATCATTAAAAATGCAAACTCTATAAAAATACAAGAGAAAGTAAACATTATATCTGAAGGCATTTGTGCTAGATGCTGCCTGAACGAAATACCCATCAACCTAGTCTGGAACTGAGACATAAAGGCATTTCGTGTAGGTAAATACCATCATTAAGAAACAATAATGTTTTTGTTATTCCCAAAATATAATGAAGTACTAATGATGGTAATTACCTCCAAAAAAAGTGCTAGCAATTCTTTACAAAATTAGAATAAACATAACTTCTCATGCTGTCTAAAAGTGTAAACTAATACCATAATAAGCAGTGTCTTCATTACCAAAATATTTTAAGGAATGATCTAGAATTTTTTGTGAAGAACAAAGAAATTAATATCATAGGATGATTAACAATAGGAGAACTTTTGCTCCTTAAAGAAAAATAGCACTTTGGTGTTAATGGGCACCACACTTGATTTTTCTCTAAGACTTATTAGGTAACTGGAAAGAAAAAGGCAAAAATTTACTAGCACCATGTCATTGTGGGAATAACCTTTGTTTTTTTTATGAAAGTAATTCAGTTATGCGAAGGCCACTCCTAAAAACTCCTAAGCCATAGGTTGCTTGGTGTTCCTCATTCTAAATCTCATTCCTGGCTCCATCAGTATCTATGAGCCTGGAAAAAAGGACCCAAGGATTAACAATGTTGGCATCACTGGGGAGCTTGTTTGTTAGAAAAACAAAATCTGGATTCCCATCCAAGATTTACTGCATTAGAATCCAACATGTCCACATGGTTTCATTCACATCAACATTTGAGAAGCAGAGGACCCTGATGTGCTCGTATGAGTTCTATGAACTCGTGTTGCTGTGAATGGATTTTTATTTCTGCATGTGGGATAAGAAGAAGCCCATGGTACTTTCTTTACCTTCAAAAAGTTTCTGTGCCAAGGCAAACACAGTTGTTCTTTCCTTCCCACACTGAGAATGTTTTATTATGCTTAAACCATGAGCAGTACAAGTGTATTCATTCAACAGACTAGGTTCCAGTTAGAATGTTTGTACCAAATAGGATGGAATCAAAGTCTCTGGCTGATGTCTGGGAAAAAAAATGCCAGAA